AATCTTATTTCTGATGTTATGTGTATAATGCAACATGGGAAAATATAAGTACATAATTTGGAGCAAAACTAAAATAAACTTTTTTAACGCTTACTATATATATATATATATATATATGTAATATAGAATCACTAGGAAATAAGATATTTCAGTACATCTTCGATATGAAGTTACGTTATTGCGGTAACATGTATTAATTCTGGACCAAATTATTTTTTTGAAACATAAAATATAATTAGAAATATCAACACATAAATCGCCGATGAATTTTTCAGCGTCAATTTAAATGCGCTTGGTTATAAGGAATCAAATTTTGGAGTATTTTTATGACATTATATATTTCAGCTATTGCATGATTCAAGTTTTCCGAAAGACGAATAATATAGCTTTGGTATAATAAAAAAATTAAAGGTTACTTTCATAGGCATTTTCCACATCCTCAACATTGATCTGCTTATTCGAAAATATTTTATATTGATTGATGTAGTTTATCTTTCGTATAAATTCCAAGATAAAACATTTATACAGTCGCTCATTTTTATAGAAAAACAACTTATAAGTCCTCTTAAAGACATTTCCTAAACAAGGCCATTTGCGACTCGTATTACATGAAGGTAAGATGCGTACAAGCTTTTTAACAACAATCTATACACCTTTAATTCGATTCTGATGGAGCTGCTGGCAGAACATGCACTTGTTGTGCTTTACTGGCATTATACACCTGTCCTGGACTAAATGGCTCTAATCGAGGACCAGATCCTACGTCATTTTTATTACGGACGATATCTTGAAATAGAAAACAAACAGAACAATTACAAAAGTCTATACAACCTAGTGGCAAAAGTAATACATGTTTTTCTCCCATTAGAATCAGATATTTCCACAGTAAAAAAAAAAAAGTAAGAATTTGACTAATTTGTTCACGAACCAATTAACACAGATCGCACGTAAGTGTATCGTGCAGAATATTCGAACTTACCGTTTTTCGACTCTGCTGCAGGTATATATCGAGACAATCTAACAACAGGGAGAGGCAAATAACCGCTTGTCAGAGGCATCACATCTAGAGTAACGCTTTGTTTCTCTAATACTTCTAACGATACAATGCCTGCAGTCCGGCCGCACACCGCCCACATAGTTTGGTCCGCTAGAACCTCGTACATTAATTGTGGTGGAGGATTCGGACTAAGACTAGGTAACACACGCATCACCGTAAGACAGAGGTGGCACATACTACCAGCGCGACAAAATTCTCCTCCACCACCACCCGCTTCAACTTTCGAGGATACCGTGAACAAAGTCTGGAAAGCATCATTACGAATCAAAATTTAACGTTATATGGTTTCAATAAGTGTGCGTGTGTGTGCGTGTGTGTGTGTGTGTGTGTGTGTGTGTGTGTGTGTGTGTGTGTGTGTGTGTGTGTGTGTGTGTGTGTGTGTGTGTGCAGAATGCTGTCATATTTTAAATCTTATAAATATAACTTCAATAATTAACTTATTCTAAGTTGTTAATCCGACTGTTTTGTGAAAACCCAAAAAGATGAGAAAAAATTAAAACGTTATGCAACTATGTAGATCAATAGGGGATACTATACAGGGAGTAGTTATTAAAAACCAATTAGTGTGAGAGATAGTTAATAAGAAATAGTTTTTTTACTTATAATGAGAAATAATTGTCCTTACCACATAATCTGTAATATCAAAATTGCATCTGTAAATGCTACACGCTTTCTCAATTTTCTCTAAATTATGTATATGCAGTGGATCGTCGTCGACGCATGTATCGTCTAACTCTTCAGTATCGCTAATTGGTAGATATTTTACACGAAAGTCAGTCTTTATTGGTATCGTGGATTTCTCATCCTTTCCGATCTCGAGTTCCCACATGAAGGAAACGTTCATCCCATTGCCTATCACTAATCTCTGACCGGCGATAGGATTTAAACTTCGAAAATTCACGTCTATCGACGTAATAGTCGTTAACTCGGGCTCGGTCAGCTGCAAAAGCTGATTTGTCAAACCTGTCACGACTATTTGAACGAATTTCCTTTGTTTCGCCGTATGGAGTTTCATGCTCGACATTAGAGGCGGGCCAAAATGTAAAGGTATGCTTTCTTCCGAACCCCATGGACATTGTATGTTCAGCTGGAAAGAAATTGCAAATTGTAACGTTTGTCGGACGGATGAGAATAGCGAGAAAGTGAGCGAAAGAGATTTTTATAAGAATTTTAGGTACTTTATGCTCCATGGACGAAGGATCCTTCTTTGGTGGAAGTTCAGCTAGAACTTTCAGCTGCATGTTTAGAGTTTGAAACGGTTCGCACGTTAGCAGCGGTATCTCCAACTCCTTCACCATCACCTTCTCGACGCTCTGCGACTGTACAGTCAGTCCACGCGATGTCCGCAGTTTCAATTTCATTTCTTCGGTTATCTTTGTACTTCCACTCGAGATGACTAGCTCGATGTCCTGGCTGAGACCCGCCAGCAAATCTCTGCCGCAATTAACAGATATCGTCGGCTGCGTCTTCGCCACCTCGTAGCACAATCGTGGATTCAGCACGGACGACAAGAACTCCAGCTTGCCCTCTATCGTCATCGACAACTGACTAACTTTGTACAAACCCGGCTGATTCACCCGCCTCACCAGCACGAACGTATTCGCGCCGGGCTTCACCACGAACTGGTCGCACGAGAGCGCCTTGCTGAAGTCACCTTTCGCGTTCACCGAGGGTTTCCTGTGTTTCGCGCTGTCCGAACGCCTCACGAGCGGCTTCAGATTTTTATTTATAACACTGGCGGAACCGAGACTCCTGTCCTCCTTGTAATCCAGGTAAGAATACACTTGCAAGTGCGACAAACTCGGATCGAGCGTCTTCATGTCTTCTAACGTGCATTTCGATAAGCTGAAACAATTAAATTAAATAACATAACTGTAAGATATCAAACTGAGGAAACATTGAACATTTTTTAAATATCAGGACTAAAATTGACAAAAATATAATTCTAATGAAATCATTCAACTTCCCCGTGTGTACGGAAGTTAAATACACACCTACAAATATTCATACAGAAATACAATTTAATTTCTTTCTGTACGATATTTTATTTTATTAATTTTGAAAGCATTTGCCTTTACATAAAGGATAAATCTGTTAAAATTGATTTTAATTAATTGGAAATTAACACCCAGGTACGGGTAAAAGAAAACAATAAACGTGATACGCGCGATCTCCCTCTCGCTCGTCTCGTCGATACTCACAGTTGTACCGAAGGCTCAACGGGCGCTTTCAAGCCCTTCTTCTTATTAGGTACGGATGGCTTCTGTATCTCCTCTACGGAAATCGCGGCACTAGTGCATCTCACCCCTCGGGGAAACGAGCTCTGTACATCGACTTCGATGCTAACGACACAGTCTTGCACCACCTTGTCCATCACGTTAACTTCCATGCTGAGTATTGTGAAAGCACATCCGAGCTCGGTGAGTAACGGCTGCGGCGCCGAGATCATTTTCATGTATCCTAACATCTCCTCGAAGTATGTGTTGCGTACGGTCACGTGCAGAACGTTTGTACTAGCTACTGCGGCGCACACTTTCGTGTACTTCTCGACGTCGTCCATCCGTTTGTAGCACTCGGCCAGCTCGAGTTGCGTCTGCGCCGCCAAGTGACTCCATCCTTCGTCCGAGTATGTTTTCAGAGCGTCGGACAAGAAGGCGACCGCCTTCTGATTCTCACCGAGCTCGCTGTAGAACCGCGCCAATTCCTTGCCGATCAACCGGGCCGATCGAATGCGACCGACGTGTTTGTACGTGCCCATGGCTAACTCCGCATGCTCGAGATACTGCTTCTTGAACGCTTCCTTAGACGAGAGCGCCTCCTTCAATTTATCGGTGGGCGTTAATTTGCCCTCCACCTGTGGCTCCGAATCGCCGATGCCCGCTATAAGGTATACGACTGTATGTAACTGTTCGCTGGTTGGTTCACTTCCCGGCATTAGGCCGCATAATTTTCCTAAGCTTCCTAACTGTAAAGGGAAAATGCACGGTGAAGAACGTTTATGTCATTACCGTGTGTATCATTTCACTGTTTGTTTAACACTTTCACAGCTGGTAGTTTTTTCATCTTTCTAAAATTGGAAACCGAATACAATCAACTTAAATCTATAACTTGTTGTCGCAGAGCCCCGACATTAAAATATGAATAAAAAATATAAAATTTGCTTCTCAAGATATATTTGTAACTACTCGTTTAATTGAAGAAAATGTACTTGTTACAAATCCAAACAAAGAAAATATCAAATTATCAACATAGGAAATGTTAAAATTAAAAATAAAACTTGAAATTTATATATTTCTTTTTTTGAAAAATTAATTCAACGCTATTTATATCAAAATACAATTTAATACTTTTTCTATACAATGATTTTTCAAATATTAGCTTTTACATAAAGGAATTCTGCAAGATTTGCAAATAAAGAACACATCGGTATGCTTCCCACTAACTTTACATACTCCAATTTCAATTCCAATTTCAAACTGCTAAAATTTGTTTTGATTAATTTGATCTTAAAATATCGAAAAAATGTAATATTATATTAGTGGCAATAAGTGACGGTTTATAAAAAGACGTACTACACACGTCAGCGGTTGCAAATGTATTAATTATTATTTCATTGTCCTCTTACTCAAATCTTGAGTCACTTAAAATTTTAGAAAAACAAAAATGAAACTACACATTTAAATACACATAAATTGAACGTTATTTACCTTGTCCCTTGCAAGTGCCCACAAACTAGCTGTATGTAAAGAGCACAGATCCAACTGTTGATTGTTATCTATATTGTAGGCGGACAATTGACACGCTTGCAAAACCTCCAATGCACAGAGGAACGACCAACATTCTATGGATCCGTCGGGTTTCTGTACTTCTAAGATTCTGAGCTCGCTCAATGTGTTGTGAACAAATGACAAGCACCTCTGTGCAACCTATTCAAGAATATTGTTCAGAGGTGTATAAATTAACCACTAATAAAATCGCTGAGAACCTCTCCACACATACCTCCCAAGGTTTATTAAGCAACAGTAGCATGGCACATTGTCTACTAAACAAATAACTCCTAAGATCTAATAAAGATGCTCTACACTCGGCCAAGAGAAACCTTAAATGATGATTTGTACCATTGTTTAGATTTACGCCTCCCCAGTTGTTGAGAGGAGTTTGAAACAGGCTTAACCAGCCTGGAGTATCTACGAACAGTTTGCCTATATTTAGGTTTTCACTTTGCACCAATGTCTTCGCACTCAATGCTTATACCAATCAACATCTTTATTTGAGATTTTGACGTTTTGAAAAAGAATTACTATACCTCCTACGTTAGAATTGAGCACAAATTGTGTGAAGAGAGCGTCTAGTTCATCATACTGCACCAATGCCTCGTCATACAGGCCCAGCATTTCCAACGCAAATGCTAATTCTTCCTGAAACACCGATTCGACCTTACAGTAAGAGAGGCAAAACTCTTCGGACTCACCAAGATTAATATTACATTATTTAGCAAAAAACACACAAATTCGAAGCGAACTTTCAACTACCTGTAGAAGAAAATAATGGCAGAAATTCCAACTAGGATTATTTCGCCTTTCCCTCTGCTCGCGTATAATATCTTCGAAGCGTGAAAGAGTTCTATCGTACGCGGTTAACATCAAATGACGGATGCGGGTTATCAAGCCTCTCCATGATTCAGCCGAACGAGATTCAGACTTAATTGGATTAATTACAGCAAAGCATCTGGTGATCAGACAACTTTAAAAAAAAAGAACATCTCCTCTCGCATGTCATGAAATTCGATACAAAAACACACACATTTGTATATTCGATATGATAATCGATTTTAATATTGATTAATATATTGATTAAGTTAAGTATGATTACCTATCTCCATTCTTGGCAGCAAAGTCACTCCGTATTTTATCTAAGACAGTAGTCCTAGGCAATAATTTATTGGCCTTCTTTATGTCGTACGTCTCCACTAGCACAATCATCCAATCTTGGATGTGGTATGAATTCAGTATTTTTAACCAGGCATCAATATCGTCTCTGACACTAGCCTTATAAGTATCAACATCCTGTAAATATATGTAACACACATGAGATACATGTACAAGTGCAGGTATCAAAAGTACTTTTATTTCTACGTTTTTAAATATAACTCTGTATATACAATAACAGCTAGTTTGAATGAGAAAAAAGATATCATGGACATTTACACAAACTCATTAATTAACTCATATATATATATATATTAATGTACAAGAATCTCTGCGGAAACTTACAGAGCACTCGCTCCAATAAATATGAAAGATTGGTTGCTTTATAAGGTGCCAATCTTTTTCAGTGGGCAATATATCCCTAGAAAATGGCACAAAGGTAGCTCCAAGTTTAACTTGTTTAATCGGCCTGCTAAATGATCTACGCCATTCTACCGTGTCCGCAGGTATAGCTTGTAGCAAACCCTTCTCCAATGTAGAAAACAAATTCTCATCTCCGCCACCTGCGTTATTGCAAAATACATTATATTCTGACCCCGTAATACAATTCAATCATCGTTGTGTTTCTTATTTCTATCTTAAAATGGTACATTTACATCGAACAAAGAACATTCCACAAGCCACTCAGACAGGATATACATATATACGTATATATACGTATATACATATCATTGGGACATTGTTACAAAGTCCATCACACATTATTGTCACATCATTGATAAGGGTACTTTAATGATCTAAAAATAACATTTGTCCAAAGGGGTCCACGTTGCAGGGATCATTGGGAGAATATCAAATGAGAAAACATATGTTCCTCAAATATAAATCCCCTTTCCGGGGAATCACGTGGATCGTGTCCACGAGCTCGAAGGCACGCTCGATCCTGCGGGGATTCGACTCGGGCGACAGACATTGGTTACTTCGGACGGCGGAGAAACGCGAGGGAGGAACGCGGGAGAATTGACAGGTAAACAGGAAGTCGGGGGCGTCGATGACACCGCGCCGCCCGTGCTGTCATTGACGGCGTAGCGTGGAGGTTAAAGGTTGCGCGACGGAACTCACAGGTGACGATCGGTTTGCTATCCATGGGAGCGTTCGCTTTGCGCGCTTCGCCAGCCACGGACGACCCTCCATTGCCGTTCATTTCTGAAGACTGGCGGCTGCGAGCTCGCTGCTCCCGATCGGGCTTTCAATCATTACAGCTCTATACGTCACTCCCGTCGCTCCGTGTGCGGGGAACCTCGGCCGCGTTCGACTCGCGCGCGAGCCGATCGCCCGGTGTGACTCGAAGCGAGCTCGGAATCTCGCCGCGACAAACGATCGGGCTCGGCTAGGGACGATCGCGCGGGTCAAACATTTTACTTCGCACTCTCGAGCTCCATTGAGGTTGGAATTGGACTCTCGTTTGTCGCCCTTCCTCCCACCCTTCTTTCGATAAACGGCCCCTGATTGCAATCCTCGTTTGTCGCGCATCATGTCGTCTTGTATCGATTCGCTTGAGACAGCGGCAAACTCGATATCTCGTTGTATCAATCTCATTATTTCGTTCGACGTTTCTCATCGCTGTTGAATTTAAAGAGGAGTCGAAACGGCTGTTTTAAAAGAAGGCAAAGCGTTTCGAAAGGAGTCATTTAACCTGCCGTTGAGTCGTACTACTTGGAAAAGCAAGGCCAGTCTACCTCGTCGTTGAGTTGTACCACCTCAATTCGTCACTTGCAGTTGCGACTCGTAGTGGAGATTTTTGGTCCGTTCTTTTTAGCTGCATTGTTGAACTGGTACTATAAGTTGGCCCCGGTCTACAATAGTTGTTTTAAATCTCAAGCCTTAAATTTTTACACCCCACTTTAGGGAGAAGCTGCTTTTCTGGCAAGGTGTGAATTTCCTTTAGAGCGAAATGAAATATATTTGTCTCATTCTAATTTATTTGACCAGTTTAGTGATATAGCTAAAAAGAACGGATCATTTGGAATTGAATTCTGGGTTCCACTTAAACTTACAACGACGCGAGCGTCATCCGACCTTTATTTAACGTCCAGCGAGAAACAGATGATCTGTTCGTGCTGCTTACACTTTTGACACTTTTACACGTAACGCTCGTTGCGCGTTGGCCTCTCTTTAAAAAGAAGAGTTGTCATTGGATATCGCTTATCGTATTCGGTGTGCAACGGACATTAGGTGCAAAAATGTCAAAAGTGCAAACAATGCAAACAGATTTAAAGGTAGAATCACGTTCACCTCGTTGCGAACGTTAAGTGGAATCCGCCCTCTGCAATAACAACCGATCCGCTAGAGGGCGGTTAAATAACGAGTTAGGTTAGGTGCTTGTTTATTTTCGAAATCACAGCATTTGCGAACTGCTGGTTGAGTTGTGTCGTAATTTATTGTATCAGATTACGTCGCAATTGATTCGATTCAATTGAATTATGCGAAGTATACATATCATTTTTGTAACGTATAATTTTGAGTATGCGGATTCTTCACAGTGTGTACATTTTCACGTAATGTGAAAATGTAATCGTTTATTCTCACAACACGCTATAACCTCTCTGTGATCTTTTTTAAAGCGGACCTGTTTCTAGAAATTATTAAATATGCATCAAATCGCAATCAGAAAAATACCCGGCGAAATACTGCCGCCTTTGAAGAAAGAAGGCCAAGGGTATATCGACGATTTAGGGAAGAAACCAAAGTTTATATTGCAGGAACTTTTAGAAAGACAGAGCAAGTTACTCTCCGATAAGTAAGTACAAACTTGAATTGTGTCGCATTATCACATTGAAAGTAGTATTTGATCCGTTACCTTTCTTCTTTCTAGAAATTTTATTTCTAAGCTTCCTGACAAGGGTGAGAAAATTATTAGCTTCCGCAATAAGGTGTTAAAAGAAATTGAGCACAGAGATGAAGTGGAGAAAGCAGCTAATCTACTGTCACGTCTTAACATAGCATCCGAAGGCAAAGTTGCCATGAGCAAATTAGAATGGACTGGCAAATATAATGACAATAACAGGAGTAATAACGATACAACCAAAATTGTTGAACTAGACAGTGACGAGGAGGAGGATCCATTAAGGATATTAGCTCAGGTAACTTGTTATTAATCTAAAACATTGATAATTACTTTCACCGAATCAGTTATTCTAACAAATATAAATTGTCATATTCAAATAGCCCACAGGAACTGGTGTTCACAAAAAGAAAGTTATACGTGTGGTGACTGAGGAGAGCCTCATCAAGCCAGAAGATTTAGTGGAAATCGAATCTTTCAAGACAGATCCTTCAGATGTGGAACATGTGAAATATATCATTGACAAAGTAGAAAAAGCACAGGAGACTAAAAGTAAGGAGCCGTTTAAGCCTTACAAAACAACAAAAAGTAACGTGCATGATCCAATGAAGGAGAAACAAAGAAAGCAGCATAAAAATTGGGAAGTCACAGCAGCTACACCACCTCTCATAGTTCATGGAGCAGCAAAACTCTTGAATCTTAATGAATCCTTGAGGTTGCAAAAGGAGCAAACAGAAAAATTACAGGTATTTTCAAAACCGCCCATTTGGAAAATTATTTCAGAAGCAGCTATCATTGTATGACAATATTTGCATACTTTCTTAACAGGTACTTCAAGCTAAACATGCGATGGAGCGTCTAACTAGTCAAGTAGGGTTACATATGGTCGGTTCTGCGCCTAAAAATGTTGGAAGTTATCGTTTACAACACGCGAGCGACTCTTCTTCTCCTTCAGAAGATGAAGAAGACGAAGTGCATGATGAAGAAGATTACGATAAAGGTGGGACAGTTGTGTTCACAGTGGAATCTGTAGAATGTTAATATTTGATATATATATCTCCCAATAATTCTAAATTTTAACTTGTCTATCCGAATAAAATATTTTACTTATAATATAGAATTGTACGTTATTCTTGAATTACTCATATTTCCGCAAGTTCAAAGGATAAAAGAATATTTCAATCAAAATGTTTGAGAGACTTTATTGTTTCTGTAACGTGTATATTAATTGTATCCAAAGCTATTAATAATCGCTGTGTACGGTGTTGTTGCTTTGGCGACTGCTTCACCAGCCTGTTTGGTAAGTTTCTAAAAAAAAAAAAAAAGATACAGTTAATGGTCATAATGTATACGAGAACTTCTTTGAAGAAGAAGAAAGACAAAACTCAAAGTAAAATCACCAGCAAATTGAAAATATTAATTACCTTAAGTTTGTTACGCTTCTGAACTTCCAAAATTGACCTGACACGCCTCTTGTTCTCCAAAGTACGGACTACAGCCTTGTACTTCCATCCTACTTCGTGAGACAATCTACCCACGTGACAGTACTAGAACAAAAAGGGATTCATGTTAATATCATATCGCATCAGTTGTGATGAATATAAATTAAATGAAATTTTTTAACTCAGTTAAAAGTGACAACATATAGATCACACGGATCGATTTCAGCCGCAAATTACCATTCCATCATTGTTTCCCTCACAAACAAGAGTGAGATTCACAAAAAAAAAATTCTAGTACATTTGTAGTATTATTTGAAAATTTTATCGTCTGTCTTACCTTTCTGCCTGGCTTGAGGCACATGACTCTCATGGCACCAGGAACAACAACACGCTTCCTTCGGTCATAGGGTGGTGGACATCCTTCGTAAACCTTCAATCTCCTGAGGGCATCCTTCCCTCTCTGAGTCTTATGTGGGATCATTCCTATAAATGAGAATTTCTTATATCTATGCATCTTGCGTTGCGTTAAGTGAAATGATATATATAATGTCGGCATCATTCGGATATATTGTTTCATAATGTAGTCAAATAATGTAGGTAAGATATTCATAATCATGTGCAAAAATTTCACCATACATACGATAACGCAACGCTGAACGCACTTACCACGAACAGTTTTCCAGAGAATTTTGCTGGGAGCGCGGAAGTGAAACGGACCACGAGCAGGATTTACGTTACATCTCTTCCGCAGGAAAGACATAAACTTCAATTTGTTCCTGTTAAGAGATAATATTAATTGTAAGAAAATAATATATTAAATTAAATTAAGAAAAATAAATAAATATATATTAGTATCCAATGTGGAGATCACACATATAGTAATAGCATGTTGTTACAACCTACTAACCTCTGTTTCTTTGTATTATATAAAAGACAGAATATATAATTAGTAACAAATGACACTATTATTCATTTTCATCATGCGGTGAAATTATTATTGACATTGTATCAAAACTTAACTCTCTCTAAAGTGCTTCCACAGCTAATTATTGGAACTCTTACTGTACTATTCACTAACCTGAAGAAGTTGCCCGAGATGTTCAATTGTTCGCTACGTACAACAATAACCTTGTTGCCTTCCAAAATGGTTTTGGCAATGATCGCTGCCAAACGTCCAAGTAAATGGCCGCGGCCATCTATCAATATTGGCTGAAATTTTAACAGTTTTTCGATTACAAAGAATGTATGATCAACAAAATGCATAGTGCATATACGTGATCGTCGCAACTCTCCATTCAAGAGATGCAATACGCGATCCACGTGTTTGTACAATCCGACCGGCGTATACGCGGTGAACAGTTTAAAACGTGAAAATATCCCATCGCGGTAAACATTTTAAAACGTGAAAATATTCCAATGCGAAGTCGTTGCAAAATTTGCGCCATGCGACGATCGAAATTGCGCTCGAAATGCAGGCAACGCCGTAGAAAACACGTGTGACGTGCGACGAATCAAATTTCGTATTTTCTGTCTACAATGTTCTCTTAGAAAGTCTTGAAGAATTCACGTGTCGCTACTAGTGCGACGTAACCGTAATCGCACCCTGTACGCCGTGTGAGAGTTATTAAAACCACATGAAATATGAAATTTCGAGTACGAACCTTTTCACTGAACCCCGTCATCTTGCTACCCTACCGGAAAAGGATCCGCGGATGAAGTGAACACGCGAGCTCTCACCGGAAGACGTGGTTAAGTCCGTCCGCAGCATTACCAACGTCTGGAAAGATTAGCCAACATTACGCTACGTCATTAGACCATGGAGATTAGCCGGTATTGGTTGATATTGTCGATTCGGAAAACACAAGTAATCAGTGAGAGGTCAATTCTTAGGAAGAATTTACACTTTGACGGAAAAGCAGAGAGCATAAAAGCAGCAGCTAATCAGAACTCGTGCTGGTAGTAAGCAGTAAAGCCCATATCAGACTACGGATTAGGATTGAGATTGAATTGAAATTTGACAAATCAGAACGAAATTCACTAAACTTAAGTTTAGTTAAACTTGTTCTGATTGGTTAAATTTCAATTAGGGCATTAGAATAGGCAAAATCCTCGATGTTTGAAAAACATCGATGTTCGCTTAAGCCCGTATCAGACTATGAATTGGAGATTGTGATTGAATTGAATTTAACCAATCAGTGTCAAGTTATTTAAACTCAAGTTTAGTGAAATTTAGTGAATTCTACACTGATTGGTCAAATTTCAATTCAGTTCAATCCCCAATCCATAGTCTGATACGAGCTTTAGCATGATATGCAATCGGAATCTCTATGAGAGTGACTTTCATCAACTTCAGATTAAACTAATTGATTAATAACAAGAATTAATAATACTAATTACTAGTTCCTTGCGTAACTTGCGTCGTTTAATAATTGAAAAGTTAAGGAATTTTTATCAGGGTTAACAAGATATAGCAGATAGTATTTTAATAGCAATAATTTTAAATTGTTGATTAAATTAATCAGAGTTTGGTGAAAGTTACCTTAAAAATCGCAAAATGTAGATAATAATTTGACCAATCGTTTATGGATAATTTCGATTTTGGTACCTTTCGTTCCGCTTGATCGAGTTTCAATTTTCAATATGTAATTTGAATTGGACTTGAATAAAGCTCGCCCGCTCGAATGTCATGTGCATGTGATGTTTGCGTGATTCAGAAGAGATTCGGTTTATTCTTCCTTGAATCGACGAGTCACGTCTAGTTATTTGCACTTCGTGGCCGATCCGTCAAGCACGCAAAGTAGGAGAATCGTCCATTACGTCAAAGATTTGAAAATTTAAACGTTCGTAAGAAGTTCGGTGCGGTGATTTGTGTCAACAGTGACGAGCGTGCGGTATTAATTAACGAGGACACTCATCATCGACGTGATATATGCCGTCGAAAAATCGCTGCTAGCCGAAGGATCGTGACGGCAGTTGCGATAACGCTAATTATTTATTTTCCGATCGTATGGCACACGTCGGCATAATCGGAAACGTAGTACAGGATTGAGGGATAGTTTTTATGTAAATTTTCCGTTTATTTCTGGGAACAAATTCGTGCAACATGGCGACTGGAAACAGGTATCGTATCTCTCTTCGCATCCACGACATCGAGATCGCAACGTTTCCTTTGTAATTCGTTTGATTTCGAGTTGTTCTCGTTACCTAAGACATAAATATTGATGACTTAGAGAGAGAAAGAGAGAGAGAGAGAGAGAATATACAAGATCTTCCATACCCCTCTATGTTGCCTTCTACACGCAGCAGATTGATTACTTGAATAAACAGTTTCTATAGAACGCTACATGTTTATATTCGATCAAGGCAATTTCACAAGTTGCGAGTGTCGCTACGTTTCGCCTTTTAATTGTGTTCTTGTATAAGGAATAGCTGATAAAATTGTAAAAAGTTTAGTTTGTGTGTGTGTATGTATTGTCTAACATGACTATTGTCAAGTTTATGCCTATCAAATTTATTAAATATTTTGGAGACGAATACAGATATACCATTGTACCAACTGGGCAAAGTTCTGAAAAAGTATGTCTTTGATTTTCATAGAATTTGGTAAATATGTTCCAAATAACCGTAAACAAGTGTACATGCAAGGACTTTTGGGATTAGTGGAGTTTAATTGAGATAATACTGATATAATAATATGGTCTAATTTATCATTCTTAATGGTCAAAGATATATTAAAGATATTTCAATTTCAAATGTGTTTATCTATGTCATTGACCTCTATAATTTTATTTAATACAAACATAGCACATAGTATATACATTACATGCATATTTTAAGTTACTTTTATTTTACTTATGCTTAAATTGAAGGAGGAGCCTTTCTGAAACTCTATCTATATCACCTTTAATTATATTGTCTTTTGTAATCATTTATGTGTACT